ATACAGTGTAGGAAAGTACCGATGGTCTATCAGAAGTTACGTGAGAGCGATAAAGTAAGCCATAGAAATCCATGTGATAGACAAGGATGGCTATAATGAAGGCGTCTAATTAGTCAACGCCCATTTTGCCCTTCCACAAATAAGAAGTGGATCTTATTTGTGGAAGGGCGAAATGGGCGTTGACTAATTAGACGCCTTCATTATAGCCATCCTTGTCTATCACATGGATTTCTATGGCTTACTTTATCGCTGTCACGTAACTTCTGATAGACCATCAGTACTTTCCTACACTGTATATGCAACATAGTCACTTGCTTTAATTTACCCCTTTGTGCTCAAGTGTCCTGAATCAAATCCATTGAAATCTTTGATCAAGACAATTGCACAATGAATCTTGCAGTAAACTAATGCAGACTTTAGCAATAGGTACACAGCAGTCTTGTATAAGTGTCTTGTGCAAGATTGTGCTACCAGGGTACGTACACCCTTTATGCATTTTTGAACAAAAAAATTGCGTTTAACAATACTGTTAATCCAGTACCAAACGAATATTATTTAGATAATAAAAGTTGAAAGGAATAAAAAAGTATTGAAAGTAAAACAGTAAAATAAATGCATTTAAAAAATGGATAAAACGTAGTTTAAAGTAGGTAGGTACCTACATAATGTTGACATGTCTAAAAACACGGTGTGTCGAAATTTTCAATAAACATGTCGTATGTTTTTATGAACACTATACGTCGACATATTTATTAATCATAAAGAAGTAGTATCATATTTCGATTTCAACTCACTAAATTCGAAAAATCAGCAGAAGTGCATTATCGTCTCCATTATTATTAATATCTCGTAATCACAAAAAATAATGACGAGTAGATTTATCATTAACCACTTAATTAAGGAGTATCGCATGATTATATTAAACAGATTGATAGAAATACTCTAATTTACTCTTCACCATATTAACAGTACTTAACTATTGCACAATGAAAACATTTGATAGCAAAAAGCCTTTTCTTGGCTAACAAATAAATTTTCAATTTCCGTTTCAAGGTCCTGCGAGACTGCCCTTAATTGTGTATGGTAGCAATGTCTTATTAAACTGGGCATGGACACCCATTTTCTTTGGAGCCAAAGACCCACAATTGGTAAGCATTTTTTTAAATTTGTAAATGTTTTTACAAAATCTGTATGTTTACATAGTCACTAAGATTCTTTGTGAATCTTGTATGTTGTGGAAATATGATTACGGTGGAGAAATCTGAAGAAATCAGAGAATCAGAGAAGATCTAAAAAAGTCAGGCGAAAGAATTTGGAAATTTGGGGATGTAAAATGGTGAAGTAATAATGTGCAATTTGATAGCGATACATGTGGGAAATAATCGAAAAAATATTTTAATAAATCTGAGCAAATTTATTTTACAATAAAAATAATAACTGCATTAATTCAATGTCTATAAAAATTGATTATCTTATCAAAAATGAATTGGTTAGATATAAAATATCGTTATGCCATCCAATTCATTACGCAATTCATTTCATACGGATCAGAAACAACTTTTAACGGAGTCGCACACTATCTGTTAATTTTTTCCCACATGTGAAAAAAATGGGTTGTACTCAATTCTACCATAAGATCCCGGACCGGCGAGTCTCATAAAAAGCTGCTTATACTACGAAAAAGAGAATAGGTCTCTTTTAGCATAGGAAGAGGAGGCTCGATTTACCCTGAAGGACAGGTTGGTAACATACGACCCAATAAAGTCTTTAGTAAACTGATAATAAAGAGTAATTAGAGCTCGAAACGACAGAAATAGTTTTAAACATTAAAATGAGGATGCAATAGACGAATATCACCAATATAAAGCTAAAAGTTAAACGTGTGTTTTTAAATAATGTGTAGTAAAACATGATTTGTTGACACAAGTAGTATAGGCCATACAAACAATGAAAAATACGTGAATTGCCCTCCTTGCCTAGTGGCACCACGAAACATATTTGGTATGTAAAACTTGTACTATTGTGAAGGGTCCTAGAAACATTTTGTAACATTTCAAACCTATAAGAAAGACCAAACGACATAAGATGTCACCCTCTTTCATGGCAGTGGAACATCTATTCTAATCCAATGGATAGATTGCGAAGACATGAAATTAGATTTTAGCTCTAAAAAATATTTTGAAGCGTATTACATGTATACTCAGTTTTCGAAACTGTTCACTTCCAACAATAAACAACATAACTGTACATATTTCATCAGTCGAGCATTATTCTCTAAAGTTAATTGTATCTTTATTCAAGATCAAGTTGTGGAATATTTAGCTCTAAGTAGAGTGTCCTATAACACAGCCACACAAAAAAAGAAAAGTTGTTTGTACTTTTCATGTGACATGTGTTATCTGTAGTATTTTTGCCTCCTGATCACGAATCCGGTATCAGAATTGAGCTATCACATCACAGGAATTTCCTAACCTCAAAAAATAGGAAAAAATTAGTAAAAATTCATGAAAAAGTGCTAGGAAAAATTTTAAAAAAAATTTCTACATTCAAATGTTTATTTATATAGTTAAGACCGCGCCGAACGTGAATTAGCGGTGAGAATTAATGGTTCTTTTTCTAACCTTAAAAAAACGGGTCAATTAATGTCAGATATCACGAATTTTTAAAAAATAACAAATTCACGCCAAATTTGGTATCCGGGGGTTTTCGGGGTCGCTGATTACGGATCCGAGGTCAATTTTGCAAAATTCAAGATGGCGGATCCAAGATGGACGACCAAATTTTCAAAAAATAACAGATTCGCATCAAATTTGGTATAAGGCGGTTTTCGGGGTCGCTAATCACATTTGCGCCAAATTTGGTATACGGCGGTTTTCGATCACGAATCAGATTTACAAAATTCGATCCGTGAAAAGATCTTTTACAGAAAAAATAACAAGATATAGCCGAAAAAAAGTAGGTTAACATATGATTGGGTACTTAGGTTATAAAGTAAAATATTACAAAATGAATTTCGCAATTCTGACCTCGAATACGTAATCAGCAACCCCGAAAACCGCCGTATACCAAATTTGCTGCGATTCTGTTATTATTTGAAAATTTGGTCGGCCATTTTGGATCCGCCATCTAGAATTTTGCAAAATTGACCTCGGATACGTGATCAGCGACCCAGAAAACTCCCGTATACTAAATTTGGCGCGAATCTGTTATTGTTTGAAAATTCGTGATATCTGACCTTAATTGACCCGTTTTTTTGAGGTTAGAAAAAGAACCATTAAGTCTGACCGCGGATTCACGTTGGGCGAGGTCTTAACTCTATAAATGAACATTTGAATATAGTAAAAAAAAAATTGTATTTTTCCTAGCACTTTTTCATGAATTTTTACTATTTTTTACCTGTTTTTTGATGTTAGAAAAATCCTGTGATGTGATACCTCAATTCTGACACCGGATTCGTGATCAGGAGGCAAAAATACAACAGATAACATATGTCACATGAAAAGTACAGACAACATTTCTTTTTTTGAGTGGCAGTGTAATAGACAAAAAGACAAAAAAATTACTATGAGATGTCGAGTTATAGATTAATAAACATATAGTTGACTGTTGTAGATTTTCGGGGATTTCCCTGAATTTTATCTCAATGAAATATCATTTATTTGTTGATGGTCAACAAATACACAATATTTTGTAAAACCACCACGGAAAATTAAGAGTGGCATCAAGAAGCAAATAAAATATTTAGAGTGTAATGTGCTGCTTAACAGTGCTGTCAAAGTGTACGTAAAACGGCCACCAGAAGCCGGAATTTCTTGAAACATGACTTGAAGGAACTTGAACACCATCAATGTGGAACTTTTTAATCATTATATTATAAAGATTTTTCATATTACTTAAATAATTTTAACAATTGTAGAAAGTATATGTGTAGTTCAAGAAATACTTTTAAGATTATATTTATTTTTTATTAACATGATATTTCCTCAACTCAAAGAAACTATATTAAATGGTATGAAAAGAATCAGTACGTGTTTTCTTGCAACGAATTTCGAACTGACCCACTGTCCCAAGCACACGTGAAGCTTGTGTTTACTGTTTATATTTCAGTCGCGTACCAATATATGAGCAACATCTACAAAATCCAAGCGACAAAATTCCGAACTAAGGACTAACTCATCTTTTCACGCGCATTTACAACTTGTTCGTATTTTTGGAACGTACCGACAAACTAACGATATCTACAAAATCCAGCGGCAGAACTGCAAACTGACCCTCTGGTCTACCGCCATTTCTTCAGATGCTAACAACCAGCGACATCAACCAATCCTAGCGACAGAACTCCGAACTAACCATTTGGCCATTGGAGACCGCCACTTCTCCAAATTGACTTTTAAATGTAAAGTGTCCCGCCTTGTACAAAGAAAAACAATAGATACGAAAGTTTTATTTTGGAAATAAACGTTTATATAAAAAGAATATTCTCCTGCGATTTCACATAACCTTTGATTCGAGAGTTCAAACCCTGAAATTCTTTCTAGTTGCTACACCACTGGTTAATCTTTGATCAAAGTTACCTGTAGGGGAAGGACTCACTTAATTTTCATTTAGGGGTAACTTGCCACAGTATTAATTAAGACATATAGAACGTTTAATTCTAGATATATTGTACAGGGTCATTATAACATTCTACTCCTCTTATCTTTTTCATTTTTCTATTGAGAAAAAATAGTAAACGCCAGAGGTTTAGTAAATTTTTTTCGTTCAATATCAGAGAAGTACATAAAAAACAATTGAATATTTCTTCTCTGAGATAGGAAATATACGTGTTTTTTTAATGGAACACCCTGTATATTTGTATCATATGTTTGCTTCGACAGTTTGCATAATATTTGTTGTACGAGAATCACTAAATTTGGTACATAGGGGTTTTATGACGTGTGGAATTTGATAGTGATACGCCTTTTGACAAGGAACCCCCTTAAGACACTTTTTTCGTGGGCCCCCTTATCTTTGGGACCAAAAAAATTTAGTCGCATATTTGAATTTCTTAAAAATTATTAATTCCCTAAAAAGCCATTGAATTTAGAAACTTTTTTGTCTCTTGATATTTTTTTCGTAAATGCAATGTTTTCGAGAAAAATAGCCAAATCACGATATGCATTTTTACCATTTTTTAAAAGGGAATTTTCCTTCAAATCTAAATTTGCAGTTCTAATTCAATCTAATGTTTGGAAAAGTTGTAAGCTGTGTGCTTCACTACAACCATTCAAAGTAGTGGATGGAGATATAACCTAGGTACTAGAAATGAATATCGAGTTTTTAAGTAAATGTAATAAAAATGTTAAGTCCAAACCCAAGCATAGCTGTTTTTTTATCAAACCCAATCACCACTATTTATACAATATTTTATTTCCTATTCCTTAGATCCTCTGTAATATAGCAACAACTACAACTACAACTAGCAGAAAACTTCAGTAGTAGTAACAATATAAGAATAACATAACAATATTTATATTTTAATTTCATTATGTTTTTCATGAAAATCTAACAATTTGTTTCAGGCGTTGGCTGAGATTCAACTAGTAAACCTAACGGCGCTTGGAACTGGATATTTATTTTATAAAATAAATCCTATAGCTGGATACCTAATCATTCCATACTGCTTGTGGTTAGGACTAGCTACAGCATTAAACTATGTCATATGGAGGGACAATAAAGATAGTAAGCCAAAAATAACAGAAGTCAAAGAGAAGTAAAGTTTTAAAAGCGATTTAGATACATTATTATTGAATAAAACATTTTATGTAAAATGTAATAATTTTACTTTTTTAGAAGTACCTACACAGTTAGTATTTTTCTGTTTGGTGGTAATATAGTTATTTCTAAATATTGTTTTTTTTTGTAATGATTCCCTTTTTAATAAAGAACTAATTCTATCCTAGGAAATCGAATAGTGCTGTAACATTATACAGGATGATTTAAATAAAATCATTGACTAAACTTTGAGGCAAATCCCGCGCCACTGGAAGATTAATTTTTTAAAAAATTATAGGTAATTAGAAGAGACAAGCAATTTCATTCTAATTTTCAATGTGCACACACATATAAATATACCGATGATCAAGTTTTAAATTCAAGACTTTTCATTCTAAAAGAAAAATCCAGAAAAAATGAAAATATTTCCCCAAGTGTCCCACGATTGTGCTTCGAAAAGAGAAACCTTTTTAGTAAATGTATGTTTTAGACGTATTAAGGATGGAAACTGATGCATTTCTGGTTGCCTAAATTATACCGAAAAATGGTAGAAAACAGTGCTTTTTTATTCCCATATATCTTTTTAAAGCACTGGAAGAAAGTAGTAAAATTTCATATCACATTTGGCAAAGTATAAATGGAGACAGTAAAGCAAACATTAATTGGGATAGGTAAATAATTCGTGAGAAATTAATTTCTAAATATGAAGGTTTTTTGGACTTTTACAAAGAAACGATTATTTCTTCATAGTATTGTAGAATTATGCAATTTTATATATAGTTGTCTTTAAACAAATAAACTGATTAGACTTTATTTCATAGTTTGTTCATCACTTTATTATTTAAAAAGTTATATTGGAATAAAATTATTAAAAAATATTCATTCATGAATAGCATTATCTCCGACTTTTAATTCGCTTGATTTGTAATAGATGTCGCACTAGTAAAAATTTATTTATGAATGGACTCGGGTTATTTTTAACGAACAGCTGTTGTATGTGGTTAATTTGGTATAACCTGATTCTGAATTGGTAGTCATGGTTTCTGTTAATTGATACGTAAATATTTAAAGAATGTCATGATCATTTTAGATATATTTT